GCGGTGTCGGGCCTGATCGGCCAGCTGAAGCGCGAGTATCAGAAGGAGACCCAGAGGGAGCTGCAGGCAGCCCACGAGGGCGCCCCCGCCCAGCGCCATCCGCCCTTGGCGGAGCCTGCGGAGAGCGCCAGCGCTGCGCGCGCGGCCGCCGCGAGGCCGCCCGCGCCCGCGCTGCGGGCCGCTGCGGCGCCGGGCGGGGCGGAGATGCACGGGAGGGCGCTGGTGATCCCGGAGCCGCCGCCGTCGGCGCCGCCCGCCATCGTGGAGCCGCCCGGGCCCGAGGGGCTGGAGCCGCTGTCGCTGCTGCCGCCCGCCAGCCAGGGCCACAGCAGGCGCCGAGAGGGCTCCGACGGAGTGGTGCGGATGCCCTCGGGCCCGGCCATGCCTGGCGTGCCCGAGGAGGCGGCGAGCGACGAGGAGGCGGCGGGCGCCAATCGCAGGGCGAAAAAGGCCTTCCCGCCCGTCGTCCCTGGCGACGGGCCTGCGGGGACAGAGGTCGCCACGCAGGGCAGGAGCCTGAGCGGCCCAGGGAGGTCCGCAGGGCCGGCCACCAGCGGCCGCGGGAACCCGTCGCGGAAGCCAGAGGTACATGTTGAAAACGGACCGTCCTTAATCCGTGATTTTTCCAATTTCGAGGCTTCATGGCTACTATTCGTGGTGAGGAATTTTCACGCGAACCGCCTGGCCCGCCCTTCCGACCGGCTTCGGGGTGCGACAGGGAGCTATCGATTTGGATAATGAATGGAGGGAGAGGACGGCCATGCTGGCCATTGTGCGGGGAGGGGCTTCCCGCGCTGTCTGCCACGCGGCCGGCCCGAACGCGCTGTCCGCCACGCGGCGGCTTTCCCGCCGTGCGATACGTTCGGGACCTTTCCCGCCGTGCGATACGTTCGGGACCAAATATTTCACGATCCGCGCGAAGTACATATGATCCACGAGATCATCACCAATAGTAGCGTGATACAAATCAATATCCACGCGACAACCGAGAATATCGACGTGCAATACTTCGACGCCCGTCGAAGCCATGGCTCACCGCGATTACAACGTCGGCCAACAGCTGTTGACTCACAAGGCTACGCAACATACCCAATATTGTGGAGACGCGCGGGCAAGGAGCCCGACACCAGACACGCATAGAAGAACATGGGCGCGAACAGAAGCGGCCCCACAGCGAATTTGGCTCCACGTCCGGCATGGGATGCAGACTCGACCCGACAATATCAGCTTCATTGCTATGACCGCCCTCGCGAGAGCGTGCAAGCACAAGCTGCGAAGCACGCAGCCCAAGGGCGAGAACGAGCTGCGTAACAGGCGGCCCAAGTACGAGAACGAGCTGCGTAACAGGCAGCCGAAGCACGAGGACCACCACCTTTACGACACCAAGTACGCCACCGAGTCCGACACCAGGAACGACGCGACCGAACCCCCCCGCAGGGGTTACGAAGTACGCCGCCGTGGAGGTACCGGTGGACAGTGGCCGCGCCGCCTGCAACGAGTACGATTACGGCCGCACCGATTTCGACGGGCACGAATGCGACAGCTTCTTCGACAGCGAGTTGTACTTCTACGGCCCTTAGGGCGATTTATGATTTCGGCTTCCAGGAAAACGACGTGCCGCAGGGCAACGACATGGATATCACTGTAATCCTGGCGGCTGTCGTCGGCATCTTGGATTATCGTCGACATCCGCCAGAACCTCGGGGATTACGAATAAAGCGCGCCCCCACGGTCGGCCGACGTGCTCCTCGATTTTGTCCTTGCCGCTAGGGAGCCAGCGTCTGCCCTGCCTTTAAAGGCGCCTCACCCAGACCGGCATGGCTGCCAGGACCACCCACAAGGTGCGATACGAGGACCATAGGCCCAGCTAGGACAGCCACCCAAAAAGCTTCAGGACCCACCAACCGAGCTACAAGAGCCACCAGCAGAGCCAGGAAAGCCGCGTGCTGAATTAGGAGGGCCGCGAGCTGAGCTACGAGAGCCACAAGCAGGGCTACGAGGTCCATCAGCTGAGCCACGAGGACCACCAGCTCAGATACGAGGGCCACCAGCAGAGCTACGAGGACTACTAGGCGAGAAACAAGTGCTACCAGTGCAGCCACGAGGGCCAACAGCAGAGCTCCGAGAGCCGTTGGCAGTGACATGAGGTCCACCTGGGAAGCTACGAGGGCCACAACCTGAACCTCCAGAGACACCAGCAGAAATATGAGTTCCACCAGAGACACCAGCAGAAATATGAGCCTAGAGGGCAACAAGCAGGGTTACTACAGCCATCATCAGAGCTACCAGGCCCACCGCAGGATTTGCGTGGCCCACCAGCTGAGCTACGAGACCCGCCAGCAGAGACACGAAGTCCACTAGCTGAGCTACGAGGACCACCGGCCTTGCCTACGAGGACCACCGGCGGAGCTATTGCAGCCGCCAGCAGAGCTACCAGGTCGACGAGCTGCACTACGTGGGCCGCGCGCAAACCTCAGAGAACCACCATTACAGCTACGTTGGCTATCTACCGAGCTGCGAGGGCCATGGCCTGATCTGCGCGGGCCACAAGAAGACCAACTATATATTTCTACAGAGCTACCCAGACGACACGCAGAGGTGCAAGGACTTTGAGCATAACGTCGAGAAACAAGAGCTCAGCTTCCTGAGTCACCTGCCCAGCTGCGAGGCCCACAACCTGAACTGCGTGGTCCGCGGGCAGAGCTACGAGAGCCTCCTGCAGAGCAACCAGGGCAGCGAGCTGAACTGAAATGCCAGCCAGCCGAGCTACACAATCCGACGCGTGGGCCGCAGGCAGAGCTACGAGATCCACCGGAAGTCCGCCCAGAGCCACCTGTTGCTCTATAAGGGCTGGCAGCAAAGCAACCGGGGCCGCCGGCTGAGCTGCGACCGCCGCGCGCCGGGCTATGGGGGCCACCTGCAGGGCCACGGGGGCCGCCAGCTTAGCTATCGGGGCCAGCCGCTTCATTGCGAGGTCGACGAGACGAACGCCTGGGCCAACGGGAGACCTGGGCCACCAGAAAGCCGATCGCCATCGGCGACGCAGAACAGGGCAAGGTCGGCAAGACGGCCCACGATTGCGTCGTGGAAAATGTTGACGAGGCGTCCGCCAAGGCCCGCTGACGGGATGGCGCAGTGTGCCCCAGCGCGCTGCGTTCCGTAGACCGCAGGTGGCAGCCGCGGAAATCGGCCGTTTCCTGCGGTCGGGGCGCTCGCGCGGCCAGGGCGCGGAGGACGCGCGGGCGGTCGACGAGCAGGAGCGCTGCGACGCGCCGCAAGTCGCGGCGAGACCGACTTGCCAGAAGCCGCCGACTATGACTATCCAGGAAAGCATGATGTAACGCACGGCGATCGCACGCGGTCTACGGCGCAACGGACAGGGGCATCGCGCTGACGCAGTTGGATACAGAAGAACACGTCGACCGTATTCACACGCTACTGAGACAGACGACGCACGGGCAACCGCAGGAAGCTCTCGGCGACAGGATAAAGCTTCCAATGCCGGGAAGCACCCGGCATCCGCCGTCAGCAGGACGATGGCAATGACGACGATGATGAGCTGATTGCTTGGACGCGCCCTCAGTTTTCGGAATCTTACTCAGGCCGCAGCCCATTAAGCTCAGTCCCGTGAACGTGCTTTCGTTCAGGCCGCAGTCCGATCTCAATCTTCTCAGTGTCGCAGTCTGATCACAGTCCGCTCGGCGTTCAGGGCGGAAACATAAGTAATGCTCTTGGTCTGACTACTACTACGCACTACTACGAGTGCTACTTCCACGACGACTACTACTACTACTACTACTTCTTCTACTTATACTTCTACTTCTACTTCTACTTCTACTTATACTTCTACTTCTACTTCTACTTCTACTTCTACGACGACTACTACGACCACTACTACTACGACTACTACTATTTCTACTACTACTACTACTACTACTACTACTACTACTACTACTACTTCTACTACTACTACTTCTACTACTATTATTGTTAGTATTCTGAAGCACCACTGAGTACGAGCACTACAACGACTAAATACGAGCACTACTACCAAGCATCGCTAAGTACGATTACGTACGACTACTACGTCGTCTTTGTCAGTATTCGTATTAGGACGTCTACACTTAGGGACAGGCAGTATTCAATACTGTTACGAAGTACAGTATCACTCCTACTACGACTGTTACGGTTACGACCCCGACTACTAAGTATCAGCGCCAGTATAGCTACGACATAGTATTACTATCAGTTCGGCAGCTACTATTTCTGCCACCGCTACAATTGCTACGAGAACAACTACTACTCCTACTAGTGCTACTAATTACCTCTACTACTACTACTACAACAACTACTACTACTACTACTACTGCTACTACTACTACTACTACTACTACTACTACTACTACTACGGCTACGACTACGACTACGGCTACTACTATCAGCATTATTCGTATCACTACGACTACTGATACTAGTACCATTCCTATTACTACTACTTCGACTACTATTACTACTACTACTACTACTACTACTACTACTACTACTCCTACTACTAATGCCAGTACTGCTACCGCTACTACTATGTGTATCATAACTGTTACGACTACAATTGGTACTACTACTAGCATTATGATAGTTAGTGCCGCATTAGTATTACAACGAGTATTCGTGGACGGGGAGTATTCATGCTGGCGCGTCCGCGGTGCTAGAAAAAGACGTTCCGTGCGGGGTGGGGGCGATGCCCTTGGGTAGACCACTCCCCAAGACGGTTGACGCACATCAAGGTCTTAGTGGGTTCTGTACCAGGAATCGCTATGGACGGGGACGGTGAGGAGAAACAGAAAAGAGGGTTGAAGCCCGCTCAAAGTGTTACTATCACGTTTACAAAGTAGCATTGTTGCGACTGCAAACGCTACTTTGACCCTTACCCTTTATTACGATTATTATTTTTAATATCGCTACGGCAATTGTGCCGTGATGAGAAATATCACTACTAAAAAAAACGGGGCCAGTAGCGACTACATATACTAAGCATTCGCATTCGTATTGTTTCTGCTACTACTACTACTACTACTATCACTACTACGGCTACTACTACGCATACTTTTTGAATAGTACTATTACTTTGTCTTCTACGGCTACTACTACACCTACTACGGCTACGACTGCGACTGCTACTATTATTACTATTACTACGAATGCTACGACTATTATTACGATTACTGGTATCAG